TTCACCAGTAGGAGGCAATGGAAATAACCCATGTAGCCTCCAGATTCAGTCTGCAGGAGGACTGGCAGCTTGTGCTTCCTCCTTCTTAGGATGCTTCTGCTCAGAACCCAGCTGTGAGAAGCCCAAGCCACAGGGAGAGGCTGTGGGTTGGTGTGCCTCCCAGCCCCCACTGAGCTTCCCGCTGACATCCGACATCAGCTGCTGGTCATGTGAGTGCCATCTTCATAGTTCAGCCCAGTTGTGCCCCAGCTGACCGCAGCCCCAGCTGACATCAAATGGAGCAGAAGAACCACTCAGCTGAACCCCATCAGCCTGCAGACTCGGGAGATAGACAACTGTTGTTGTTTCAAGCTATTTTGGGGCAGTTTGTTTCACAGAAGTACATAACCGAGAGAGCTTTCCAGAGAAAATGCTGGAACTGAGACTGTGGAGGAGCTCATTCAATTTCCATTATAAGTAGGTCACATTTAAATAGCCTGTACTTGATCCTTATGACTTCTGGATATCACTAGGCAAAATTTTAGAAAGCTCTTATTTTGGAAAGGAGGCGCCTTTAAGTTTGTTTACAGACTACATTAAGGAACTAAGCCTTTTTCATTATTATACTTTTTGGTTCCTTTATTCTCCCAATGAAGTGGTAGGTAAGCAACATATAATCAGATGCATTATTGTGATTAAAAAGAAAAGCAGTATTTTTCAGCAGAAATAGCATGAATCAGACTTTTTTTTTTTTTTTTAGATTTTATTTATTTATTTGACAGAGAAAGCTCAAGTAGACAGGCAGGCAGAGGGAGAAGGAGAAGCAGGCTCCCCGCTGAGCAAGGAGCCCGATGTGGGGCTCAATCCCAGGACCCTGGGACCGTGACATGAGCCGAAGGCAGACGCTTAACTGACTGAGCCATCTAGGCGCCCTTGAATCAGACTTTTGTTCAGATCTCGGCCGTATCACTTAATAGCTTTGTGACTGTGGCTAAGTTACCTAAGCTGCCTGTGTCTGTTTCTTTTTTCTTTTTTTTTTTTTTAAGATTATATGTACTGTACAGGATTAGTGAAGATAAGAAAATAATATATATTAACAACCTAGCAGAATGCCTGGCACAAAGGTGTGATGTAGCTTTTGTTGTGATGAACGAGATGGTAATGTGATTTTTAAAAGGTAGCAAAATTCTGGCTCATGTTTATTTTTTAAGGGGACACAGAAATATGGGTGCTCCTGGGCTTTATTGGGGTGGAGCCTGAAGGGTTAAAGTGGTATATCCTTGCGATTCTTCCTCCAAATAGGCATGTTTCAGCCAAAGGAAATTCTGATCCCTCACCGATTCACACCACCCTTCCTCACTTCTTTACTGCTAGAGGGGATGTGATTAAGGGATAAAGACAACCTTCTGCTCCTAGTCCCAAGGGGGGGAATGAATGAAGAACTGTTTTTTTTTTTTTCTTTACCTCCTGTACCCCCTTTCTTCAGTTACAGTCACCTTCTGATTTGATGGGAAACCATTTTACAGGACGCTGGCTTTCTGCAAGCCGATCTTAGCTTCAGGGTGCCACGGGGCTCTTGGAATACCTCTCCAGGGAGGACAGTACACACCCCACAGTCCGATGTGTGTAGCCCAGGTAAAGAACCATTGTGGCAGCCCACAGGATTTTGTCTCTGCTGTTTTGTCCTAGTCTTTGTAGGATACGTTGCTTACCTTTCTAAGTGCTGCGTGTCTTTAAGATGACAACTAGAGCAGAGCCCGATAATTTCTTTTTCTACAGAATATGTTTGCTCTGAGTGATTAAGGTGAGGTGATTAGTTGTTGGTACAAGCTGAGGACCACTTTTTAAACTCTGGGTTACTGTTTTGGGTATCTTCTCTTACCTGCCCGACTTGGGCTGCCTGAACCCCATTTTGATTTTTGAAACCTAGATGATTGGCTCTGAATGAAATGCCAATGTATTATACTTGAATGTAATGTTGGTTTGGGACATAAGTGAGGAGGTAGGGCCCATGTATTTTACACTTGATCTCAGCCAAAAGGCCGAGAAGCGATGGGCCCATGTATTTTAACTGGGTGATCTGTAAAGGAATTATAAAGTACCCTAATTTAGCATAAACATTTACTTTGCTTATATGGGTTTTGAATATTTACATGAATATTGATTATTGAAATGTTAATACCTCTCAGTATGAATACTATAAATGCTAAGAAACAGATTTCCTGTGATAGGAAATTTCATGTCCATTGTTAGAATCTTTAAGAGAACTCTCACTGCTTTAAAATCAAATAGTTAATGGGGTGCCAGATTGGCTCAGCCAGTTGAGCATTTGACTCTTGGTTTCAGCTCAGGTCATGATCTCAGGGTCCTGAGATGCAGCCCCGCTGAGTGTAGAGCTTACTTGGGAGTCTCTCCCTCTGCCCCTACCCCTGCTTATGCTCTCCCCCCTTCCCCTCTCTAATATAAATAAGTTTATTTAAAAAATAAAATAGTTAAAGCTAGAAAGCCAGCACAAGATCTTATTTTAAGTATTATTTTAAAATATTGGTTATTGGTATATAAGTGCAGGTTATGGAGAGGATAAGTCATTTTGCCCATAAGCTTGTCACAGTCATAATTACAATTAAGCAAATTGTTTCAGGCTTTTGTAGTTGTTGTTACTGCAGACACATTTTGAGATTTAACATCCTTTAAATCATTTATAATTATGGGCCAATTTCATTTTGAAAGAAATGGTAATATTCTTATTGCATGCCCACTTAAAGCGTAAAACTATTTAAGAGCAGGGAAGATTGTGCTATACCAAATATAATGTGCTTAAAGCAGAATTTCTCAGGACTTGAGCTCTAAATTTATTGCTTCTGGGACTCATATGCTGGTTGTGTGTGTAGTATAGATTTAGAGAGAGTTTTTAAGAGTCCTGTTGACATAGGTGAGCAGAATGGTTCCTTGGAAACCATTTGAGTGTGCAGTCACAGTAAAGCAGGGATTAAAGGTTCAGATGCATATAGTGTGAACTGACATGCAAGAATGGGAGGTTCGGGGAATCCTGTACTCCCTATTGAACACTGCATTTCTTCCAGCCTTTTAAGGGCTGCTATTTTTTTTTTAAGATTTTATTTATTTATTTGAGAGAGAGAGAGAGCACAGGAGAGGGAGGAGGGTCAGAGGGAGAAGCAGACTCCCCACCGAGCAGGGAGCCCGATGCGGGACTCGATCCCGGGACTCTAGGATCATGACCTGAGCCGAAGGCAGTGACCCAACCAACTGAGCCACCCAGGCGCCCAAGGGCTGCTATTTTATAAGGGGGAAAAAAACGCTGCGTTGAAACTATCTGTAAGGTAAAGCTACTGAAACCTAACCCAAAAGGCATGCTTCCCCCCCCCCCCATTTCTTGGATCATTGCCTTTATTTATTTCACTTATATGTAAACATACATGAGTAGGTTTTTTTTTTTAAAGATTTTATTTATTTATTTGAGAGAGAGAATGAGATAGAGCATGAGAGTGGGGAGGGTCAGAGGGAGAAGCAGACTCCCCGCTGAGCAGGGAGCCCGATGCGGGACTCGATCCCGGGACTCCAGGATCATGACCTGAGCCGAAGCCAGTCGCTTAACCAACTGAGCCACCCAGGTGCCCCATGAGTAGGTTTTTACACATAATCATACATAATCAAATATATTGTTGCTATTATCATTTTGAGCAAACTCTTATCTGTTAGATCAATCAAAAATAAGAACAATTTTTTTTTTTTTTGCCCTCACTTTTTTTTGTTTTGTTTTGTTTTGGTGCTTTTCTTTTCTTCATGTGCATCTGAGTTTCTGACCTATTTCACTTTCCTTCTCTTTAAAGAATCTGTTTTACTATCTCTTGCTACTGGCTATAAATTCCCTCAATTTTGTTTGTCTGGAGAAACTCTTTATTTCTCCTTCACTTTAGTGGAAAACTCTTCTTCATACTTGCAGTGTGGTTCTAGCTGAGGACATGTGGTATATATTACAGCGCCCAGGGAATTCAAACCTCTGCAGTGAAATTTTCAAAATGAAGAGCGCTATTTACCAGTGTTTCTTATTAGCTTAACATTAGTCTCGGACTGCTGCGGGTGGGAAGAGGAAATGGAAATATAAGTGGGACCAGAGTGGGGCTACATGAACACATCTCCCCTTGCCTAGCACCCCTCCTCCAACATCGCTTCACCCTGGGTATTGTAAAGTCTTACAGGATCGTCGGGAACAGGGCTGAAGGCAGAGCTGTCCATGGTTCGGAAAAAAATGTTCTAACTGTTGGTTGAAGATCAGGTAATACCAGTCCTCTTCGTGAGCAAAACTTATTAGAGGGCAGGGGAAGGAATGCTATCTCTCAGCGGCAGGCAAGAAGAAATTGCTGTTGAAAAGCTTACCTCTCTAGGGAGGAATCAGATATCAGACTTTGCCAAGCCTCAGGTCCAACCCATAAGGTCCCACCTACATCCCCCGCCCCATCCCAGCTTTGTTAGATTGCTAGCATCGATCGCTGGCTTTTTCTGACCCAACAGTGGGTGAAGGAAAGAGAGCCGGCAAGACTGGAAGCGAGCAAGGTGGGGGTGGAAAACGGGGGCCGCTTCTTGTGGAGAGAAAAAGAGAAAGGGAAGAAGCGGGGTGGGGGCCATGGGGACTGAGCTTAAACTGGTGCCTGCCTGCTTCTCTTTGATTTGATGGCCTTTATTCCTTCTAATTGGATAAAATAGGAAGTCACTGGCAGTCCTGCGTTGCTGGGTGTACTGATTTTACTCAGAGCATCCAGCAGCTCTGGAGTACAGACAGAGGGAGGAGGGAGGAGAAAGAGAGAGAGAGAGAGAGAGAGAGAGGGAAAGGGAGAGAGGGAGAGAGAACGTCTTTGGATGAGGAGGGGAAAGGAAGAGAAAGAGACTATGAAGCAGGGCCGAGCAAGCCGCAGAGGAAGAAAGTGAATGAGCGCTCCAGAAGGACAAAGAGGAGTGGTTCGGGGGTGGGGGTGGAGGTAGGGCGGGGAGGGGAGTCACCGCCCCTCTGGGGCCGCACTCTTCCCTTCGGATCCCTCTGCCATGACCCTGTTTGCAGTGATGCTCGCAGGGCAGGCACCTGCTGCTCTATAATGATTCAGCCTCTTCCAGCCGTCGCGTTAACACAACAGGATGCTGTTGCTACTGGCCCTGCTGCCTCTCTTCCCGCCGCCGCCGCCGCCGCCACCGCTGGTCCTGCTTTTGCTTTTACTTCTCCTGCATGACAGTTGCTTTCTCCATCTAAGCAGACAGCAGCTTCAGATGCTCGAGGTGAGAAACATGCCTTTCAGTTTGGGCTACTGGTTTACCTAATTGACCAACCCTCGGCTCGGTTTCGGTTTTGGCCCCAGTCCTCTTGACCAGCCGGGATGGTTCGGAGAAGCATTTGAAAGAACTGCAAAAGTGGCCCAGAAACAGCCATCACGAATTACAATATACTTGTATTTGGTAGTTGCTAGAGGCTTTTTTTCCTTCTTCCTGCCTCCTGAACTCCTCTTGCTTTTGATAATGGCCTTGGACTTGGAAGACTTATCGATTTCCCCCTGTAAGATGCTGCATCATTTGGTTGGGGGGGGCTCTGCATGGTAATGGACCGTGAGAGAGGCCAGGCCTTCTGGAGGTGAGCCGATGGAGATTTATTCCCCAGACATGTCCGAGGGAGCTGCTGAGAGGTCCTCCAGCCCCTCCACTCAGCTGAGTGCAGACCCATCTCTTGATGGGCTTCCGGCAGCAGAAGACATGCCAGAGACCCAGACTGAAGATGGGAGAACCCCCGGACTCGTGGGCCTGGCAGCTCCCTGCTGTGTGTGCCTGGAAGCCGAGCGCCTGAGAGGTTGCCTCAACTCAGAGAAAATCTGCATTGTCCCCATTCTGGCTTGTCTAGTCAGCCTCTGCCTCTGCATTGCCGGCCTCAAGTGGGTGTTCGTGGACAAGATATTTGAGTATGACTCTCCTACTCACCTTGACCCTGGGGGGTTAGGCCAGGACCCTATTATTTCTCTGGATCCAACTGCTGCCTCAGCTGTGTGGGTAGCATCTGAGGCATACACTTCACCTGTCTCTAGGGCTCCATCTGAAACTGAGGTTCAAGTTACACTGCAAGTTGACAATGCTGTTGTGTCCTCCCAACCTGCAGCAGTACCCACCCCGAAGAATCGTATTTTTGCTTTTTCTTTCCTGCCGTCCACCGCACCATCCTTCCCTTTCCCCACACGGAACCCCGAGGTGAGAACACCCAAGTCAGCAACTCAGCCACAAACAACAGAAACTAATCTCCAAACTGCTCCTAAACTTTGTAAGTAGAGAGAGAGAGGTGATGAATAATGGAAAGGGGTGGGCTTGAGGCGCCAAAAGGCGTTCTCTAGCGCAGGGAGCTGTTTCCTTGTCTTCTTCTATTTTAATTGCATGGTTTTGTTGAAGCGCATCATGTGACTGGAACACTTGGGGTGGCCGTAGAGATGAGTAAAATGATCTTGCAAACCGCTGGTGTGAAGCAGCGTTCCCTCCAGCCAGATTGTTCACGGGCTGGGGTGGGGGGACACCCCCAGCTTGAGCGTCTGCGAGTCGTGCTTGAATGTCACTGCAGTTCCATTGATTTCTAACACTTCTTTAAAAATTAAGACAGCAGAGCATCCTTTCTGTTTTATATGAGTGTGACTTCCATAGAGCGGCGAGTGTGGTTTCGCGTCTCTCGTTCCCATGTAGCCTTCCCTCACCCCTCCTCACCCTTCGGTTCCCCTTGGCCTCCCAGCAGCCCCACACCACCTGGTATCTGCCTCCATCCCTTCTTCCTGTTCCCTTCACTGCTCTCTGCTCTCACCACACTTCTCTTATAATTGGTTCTTCCTGATAGCGCAGTCACCGTGCTCAGCCCCCAGCAGCGGCGGGCTCTCCCTGTCCTGCCCAGATTGTCATTTAGGCTCCTGAGCACCGGTGAGGGGCAGCTTTATTTTTTTCAGGACGCAGCCCAAAGTCTGCATGAAGGGATTTTCCCAAGTTAGTTTTGTCTTCTGTAATCAAATGTTTAAAGAGCTTCCTTGGCAGTCATTAAAAAGTACAAGATCCATTAGGAAGGCACATCGTTTTTGTTTTGTTTTGTTGTTGTTTTTTTCCCCAGACGTGTCATTTTTTGCCCGGCAGCCGCGCAGTTTAATAACCTGTGAGTGAGGAGAGCCCACGCTCTTAAAACAGTACAGAACAATGTGCTCCTGTTCCGACTGGGGCCCCGCGATGCTTTTACAATGGAAAGTTGACAGGAATGAAACCATGACTAGTCAGATTGCTCCAAATGCCAGTAGACAGGGGGAGTTTCCTCTAGCTGCTTCTTTTTTTTTTTTTTTAAGATTTTTTTTTAATTTATTCATTCGAGACACAGAGATACAGAGAGAAAAGAGAGCATGAGCAGCGGGAAAGGCAGAGGGAGAGGGAGAAGCAGGCTCCCCGCTGAGCAGGGAGCCGGACGTGGGGCTCGATCCCAGGACCCTGGAACCATGACCTGAGCCAAAGCAGGCGCTCAACCATCTGAGTCACCCAGGCGCCTCTCCTCTAGCTTCTTTTTTCTAAATGTTTCTGATTTATTTTCATCTCTCTGTCTTCTACCACTTTCTACCATTGATGAATATTCCCTTAGTAGAAAAAAGTGAAAGATGAGAGGATTTGGTTCTTAATAACGTGTGTAAAATCTCTTAGAGTTGAGGGTAAGAGTTCCGTGATGAAATACTCACCCCTTCTGTTTCCCTCTGGATGCTAAGGAAGAATAAAGAATATCTTTTCCAGACATTATGTTGCGAATGAGGGAGAGCCGTGTGGTAGAGAAACACAGAAAACTTGATTTGTGCTTGTGATTCAAGATCATTTCATACACAGCAGTTTCAGTGGCAAAGATTAAAAAAGAGAGCGAGAGGCTTGTTTTTCAGGTGTAATTAGGAAAGAACCTCCTTTCTGCAGACACTGCTTTGTATCTTTATCAAATCCCTGAAGCATCATTAAAGGTCTGACAGACATCACTGCATTCATCGCCTCTTCCCACCTGGCAAAGTGACCGGGAAATAATACCCAGATGAAATGACAGGCTATAAAAAGCAAGTACAGATCCTGCAAAGAGAAGCAAAATTCACCGTGAAGACAAGGTTACTTCTTTGTCTTTATCGCTTGAAACTTGTCTTTAATTAAAATGTGCCCAAAGAGGTTTAGTTGTCCAGAAAAAGAAAGAGGACCCTTTTGGGGAAAAAAAAAAAACAACAACTCTTCAAGTAAAGTCTATAATTTTGTCATCTTTGGGGGCGGTGGGGAAGCAAACAAAGAACCATCCAGTTACCTTTTCCTGATCTAGGACCATGTCAAAAAGTATGTTGTGACTTTTTGAGAAATTATTTTTGAAGGTAAATTCTTCTTCTAAGTGTTTTCCTAGGGTATGCATTCCATATAGTTTCTCTTCTCTTCATTTTCGAGCTTGGGCATTGATTTTCTGGCATTTGCATTGAGTGGAAAAGATTTATTGCGGCCTAAAAGCATCGCAGTGGCCAGTTCTGGCCAGAGACACAGCTGCAGCATTTTGAAGTGCGTTGGAGATCAGCCTGGAAAAGCAGTATGAGAAGTAGTTTTCTCCTGAAAAGTTAGAGGTAGATGGTGCTTGACACTTTACAGCCTATGGGTTTTCTGTGTGGGAAACTCTGTGTTAATTTTTTTCCACCTAGTGCCTGAAAACAACAAAAACACTAATATCCTAAATATTAGGAGTCTATTTTTGGGGGGGAGAGGGGTCGGAGATTGGTCCAGGGAGCTTTGCTTTCAGACACTCCTATGAGTGGTTGCTTTGTTGTTTAAAAAGCTTGTAACCATGCACTAAAGGAAAGCAAGGAAAAAGAAAAGCTTGGAGTCAGACTGTCATTTTGTAACCTCGTTCACCTTTTTTTCCTTCAACTCAGAAAGTACTGCTTAGTCCCAGGAAGAACAAGAGCGTTCCTTTCGTCATGTGTGTTTTTGACATGAGCTACGCTGCGGTGGTATGCATCTTAAGACGGCATTATCGTATCTGAAACATGCTCCTCAGTGGTTTCAAGATGTTATTCTCCCTTTCCTATCTGTCTGAGCATATTCAGCATATTATGCACAGAGCTGTATCCTTCAAGGTCATAGTCTGTGGAGGGCTAATTGATTCTTCTTTATCCTGGAGCCTGAGAGAGTGGAACAGAGACAATCCTAGTAATTGTGTCTGCTCCGTTATTCCCCAACCAATCTACCTTCTAGTATTATTAGGCTTTTATTCTATAAACACTGGAATTACTCCCCTTCCCACCGACTCTTTTAAAGTTAAAACATTCTTTGGCTTTATTGTAATAAAAGGCAATGTATAACATTTTAAATTGCCTGTAAGAATAGTGGTTACATCAGGTTTTCTAAAATGGGCATTTTCTCATAAGGTAATATAATTTCATGTTTTCACTAGATTAATCTATGCATACATCTAGAGCTCAAGAGATCTAATGCAGGATTGGAAAATATATATATACTTTTTTTTTTAATTTAAAGTTTTTCTGTGTGTGTTAGTGCCTTCCCACTACCACATTTTTATTTGCCATGGTAATGGTTAAGTTTTTATTTCTCACTGGGGCACAAAATACTTGAACCATTAATTTGTTTTCTTTGCCTGGGCTTTAAAATTTATCTTAACCTCTGTGTATATGGGAAGAACTGATTCCAGGAGATTGCAAACTTAGATTACTATAAAAAGAGCTGATTAATTAAATTGTCACAGGGAACCGTAGTGCCATCTTGGAAGAAAATGTATTTCTGGATGGGAGAGCCTGCTTGACAACAGACTCTGTAGTGTAAGAGTGTATTAGTATTTTCATCTTAGGCCAGATTTGTTTTGCTTTGTCTTAAGTCTCTTTGTACTGGGTTGCATGGCAAACCATTGTTACCACAGTGACAATAGGAATCACCACCATTTGCGAAAGCTCAACGTGATTAATTAAATATACCAAAGGATTTCTTCCTTTCAATTTAAAAGTGACATTTATTTTAAGCCCAAGAAATTCTTCTAGTTCCTTGCAACTGTACTTGTGGGTATTTCAGAGTGGTGATTTCAGATAACTTTTCTCCACTTTAACCAAACTTGTTTAAAGCCCAAGACATTAAAAACTGGGAGAAAGTGAAAGATCCTTGACTGAAACCAAATAATTTGATAAATTCACTGGTGAGGAAACCCGGGCTCTGAAAGATGTAGTGACATTCTTTTACAAAAATTCACAACATTCTGAAAGGTTTAGTGAAATCCAAAATAGTAGAACACAGAGTAGTGTCCTGGCCACCAGAA